TACCAGGACTCTCTGAGTTTGTTATCTAGAGACTGGAGGCAGCTCTGGGTTTTATTCTAAAAACTGGGCTGTCACAGCTGAGCATTTCTGTCAGAGGTGCCTGTTGCTGCCTTGTCTTATACCCTCCTACTTTGCTTTCTTATGATCTCTACAGAGGTGTATCAGGCCAAAACTAACCTCAGACCATATAAGCCTGGATGGATTAATTGTGGAATGTCCCAGGAACAATTTTGTGTAGCAAAATACAGAAAAATTAAAACAAAAATATCTCTCAGCTCATAATGGGTTGCTAGTGCAGCCCTGTTCTCTCCAAAGTCAGTTCCAGGGGATTTTTTTAGATGGAGTTTCAGTTTTCAGACGAGACTTATATCCTGCTATGCCTTTCAAACATTTGTTAAGGAGACTATATCTAGAGTTTTTTGTGAGTAAGAATTCTCCTGGTCTTAATTTTATCCTGCCTGAATATGCATCTTTGTCTTCCTTAAATCATTTTACTGTATCCTTTCTGGTTTTAGCTTTTAGGTTGTTGTAGTTTTTAACTTTTGCATGACCAGGGTGGTCATTTTTAGCTCTTAGTCACTCTCAGAATTATACTTCTGTAACATTCATTTCACCTTTCCCTGAAATCTCTCCAGTTTTCCTATTATTTTCTGGGTATAAATTCACCAGAATCTTTATAGGTCTGATGACACCCTGGCATGAAGAATAGGATTAGCCTGACCCTCATGGAGTCTCTGAGATGCCCAGCCTTTCTTAGACAAACCTTGAACGAATGTTTTTCGTGTTTGGCTGTCTAGTACCATCTCACAGTAGAATTCTGCAGCCACCCAGTTAATTTTCTGGGTTCCTGGTGGCTTTTGTCTTCTGTTTGTAGAGAGAAAGGTTCAAAGACTGAGTACTGCAACCTGAAATCCTGACACTCTTAGTTCCATTTTGGCAGGGTTGTTTCAAGCCTTACAGTTTGGGGTGAGTGTTGTAGACTTCACTGTACATTTCAAAGATAATTCTGTCAGAAGCTCTCTACCTCATCTTTTGCTTCTCCTTCTGTCTGCTTTGCAAAGTGCACTTAGAGAAAAGGTAAGGTATTAATCTTGTGAAAATGACGGATTGCAGAGGGTATTGTACCAGCACTAGGGAAATGTTGATAAGGCCTTTAAGTATGGTAAGACCTATGTAGTGACAGGACAAGGGGGAATGGCTTAAACTGACAGAGGGGAGATTGAGATGAGCTCTGAGGCAGAAGCTCTTCCCTGTGAGGGTGCTGAGGTGCTGGCACAGGTTGCCCAGAGAAGCTGTGGCTGCCCCATCCCTGGCAGTGTTCAAGGCCAGGTTGGACACAGGGGCTTGGAGCAACCGCGTCTGGTGGAAGGTGTCCCTGCCCGTGGCAGGGGGTTGGAACTGGATGAGCTTTGAGGTTGCTTCCAACCCAAACCATTGCATGATTCTATGGCAGGATCAGGACCATCCTGCCTAGGCAAGGCAGCCTGAAATCATATCAAATGTCTTAGAGAGTTTAAAAACTGAAGAGAATGGGGTCAGCTCAGGTAGTTGGATTTTATGTCTAGTATGTGCATCCAGAGGGTAAGGGCAGAGCTAGGTGTGAATGACATTTACAAAATGTTCTTTTATTTTCTTTCTGACTTAAGAGAAATGTCTGTTGGGGAGTTTGATATAGACTTATGCCAGTAGAGAATGTTGAAAGACTTCAATAAAATATCTCAAACAAAGGAGGCTGTCCTAAAATTCAATGGAATATACTGCACATCCTGAAAGATGTAAGAACCAGTCAAATTCACACTCTTGATGGGAAGCTATCCACAAAAAAAGATAAGAGAGAAATGGATGAAGCACATGTGGTCTAGGATTCCCTTCACGATAATTGTTCAAAACTCCATTGCCAGAAGGGTTCATGATTAAAGGGAAAAGGTGCAAAATTGCTGCCTGAAACATATCAGATGTAAGGGATAAAAGGAGAGTTAAACTGAAGAGGGAAAAAAGCTACAGAGCTCAAACCAAAAGCAGCAGAGGCCAGTACTAGAGTAACTATGTGACTTTCAGGCTAGATAATACAGCTGAAACCAGAGCTCAACTGTGGTACTGAGATGCAGGGAACATCTCAAGATTCAAACCCACACTTAATTTATAGAAAGAATGGACTTACAAAATGATCCAAAGAAAAACCTAAAATGAGTGGCTGTGCCTCCAGGGGCAAAGTTTAAAGAACAGGACAAACCATGAAGGAAGATCCTGTGTTACAGGGGAACAGACAGCCAGGAGATAAAGGCATGGGTAACAAAAGGGACATGTCTATTAATAATACTTAGCTGTTTTGCCATCAGAGAAGCCCCACGGTGAGTCTGACACAAGTGGGTATGAGCTAATGCTTGTAACATCCCTGTGAGGAAAGGGGTGCTCTCATTTGTTAGATACAGCAGATGAAGCAACTTACCCATGGCCACAGTTTTATAGCTATGATTAGATCTCATGACCTTCTGTCTCCGTCTCCTCTACTCTAGGCCATACTTCCAGTCCTAAATGAATCTGTGCCCGAAACACTGCACGAAACTACATCATAAATAAACCCAGAGTTGTTCCAGCTGGGTTACACTGTCACAGAGAATCTAAAGAAAGTCTGGCAACCAGACCAAATAAAAAAGACTAGAAATGAAATATCTTAATCACACAGGAGACTGACCAAGAACAAATACTTACAGTTTGTGGAAAAAAAGAAGTAAGTGTGGCTTGGTGACATTTTTTCCAGGGTGGACCTAGAACACAAAAGCACTAAAACGTTTGTTCTGCAGAGCTGGACTGGACCACAAGCAAACCAGAAAACCTGTATTTATGATAAAAGGGAGAACTCTGAGTGGTGCCCAGATGTTTCTAATCATCTTCTTTTCTCATTTGACAAGCTGAATGTAACTTTACATTGAAAGAGAGAAACATGAATGTAGTGAAAAGAATTTCTGTTTAGAGAAAGATTTGGAGGGAGCGACTGGGAATACAAAGGTCATGACTGGGAAGACAAGTGTTCTGAGAATTTAAAACACCTAGAAAATCTATGCTACCATTATTTCCATTTCATTTATGTATGTGCTTGTGTATACACATCTGCACCTATATATGCATGTATATGTATAAATGCCTATATTTCACATGAGAAACATCAAGGGCTAGGAATTAATTTTGTTGCATTTTTATCATTATTTTTTTGCTAAAGATGACACTGATGCAGAACACTTGCAACCAAGAGGAAATGTCGAGCTCCCCTAACTGGATGTGTTTTGATTTGGAGCAGTGAGTCTGGGCCCTTCTGTAATGCTTCAATGTTAGTTTTTCCTTCCAAGACTTGTGCTTGCTTGAAGTGCACAAAGAATTCGGCCAACTCACTGTTTGATGGTTATAGTAATCTGTAAACTAAGGGAAATTTCTGTTCTTGAGAATGTTGCTGCTTTAGGACTGTTACTCAATAATCTCTTTCTTCCGGGAATAATTGGGTGGTCCACAATCCATGTAAATAGATGCATTCATGTGTGTTCTATGTAAGAATTACAAGGCTGAGGCCTTAGAAAAGTTTTTCCTCTGGAAGCGTAAGGATCAAAATTTGTCCGTAGGTTAGTAAGCAACTAGCTATGAGGCAAGACAGAAGAAGTCTAATTCTAAAAGCATAAAGTAGGGATGATCTCTTTAGTATTCATCTTAAGTGGAACACTCCAGCTCCCTGATAAAAAATCTATAGGCATATCTAAATCTTGCACTGGATCCTTTCCTATGGAGTTTTCCACAATGAATGGCCAGGCAAAGCCTGAGACACACAGAGATGGATAACTATGTAGGTACTAAAATCTGTGTTTCCCACTTTGTTGTAGTTTCTACATATAGAAATACACACATAGAACTTCTACACACAGAAAATGGCTTTTCAGAAGCGACTTGGAGAAGGCTATGGACATTCTCTGTCTTTCAGAACAGAAAGGTAGAGCATCAAATGAAATTATCAGATGGCAGGCTAGAAACCAAACCAAGGAAGGCAGTGTGTTTTTCACACCACACTTAGCTGTAGAACTCATTGCCACAGCACATTGTTCTCACAAGTGTGTAGGTGAGTTTAAAAAATACTCAAACAAATTAATGTTAAAAGAAAAGTATCACCAGGGTATGTTGTAGCAAAAATGCTGTTGTAGTTCAGGTAGTGCTTGAGCCCCAGATTGCTGAATGCTGACAGAATCTCCCAGGAAAGTATTCTATATGCTTGCTCTGTTTTTATATTCTTCCAGCAAATCTACTACTTACCAGCATTGAAGACAGGTTTCTGTGCCTGCTGAACCTCTGTTCTGATTTAGTATGGCTGCTTTGATGCTCTCAGGGAAATCTTGCTCACAGTGTTTAATCTGATATTTACTCCTTGCAGTAGTTAAACAGACCATTGTCTGTAAGTATTTTCCCAATAGAGCAAACCCTGTGGAAAGAGTAAATATCACAGCTTGGTAAATATCAAGGTTCCTTTTTAATGTCATTCTGATAATGTTTGATCCACACAAATATGCTTTAATAGTTCAGTGAGGTTATCTGAAAAACTATATAAAAATGGAAAGAAGAATTTGAAAAGATTTCAATATAAGGCTTCTAAAGATCTAAATTTCTGCTTGATCAAGCATGGTAGTTTGTTCAAAACCATTGTTAAGATGGCAAGTGCTTCACGTACTAGTGTTTGGAGCAAATGAACCCTAATGACACAAACACTTATGCATGTGAACACACTTTTGAATAACCCCACTGAACTGAATGCATCCAGATAGGTTTTGAAAAGTGGCATGTATGTTAAGTGTGTGTAGAACTGACATCTAAACAGCTTTCTAAAGATCAGCATATACCTGTCTTGTAATTTTAACTCCTGTGCCCATTTTAATTGGTTTTTCAATGTGCTAAATAAAGAATCATCCTAACACAGTCCTGTTTTTGTAATAAAGTGGATTTTTTTGAAATATCTGAACTGTCAGTGGTGATGTGTAGGACTCCAGGTGCTCCCGCTCATGGTATTGTGGAAGGAGATGACTTTAAATACGGGGCCCAGGTTTACTTCAAGTGCAACGCAGGTTACAGCTTAAAAGGCAGCCGTGTTGCCTACTGTCAACTTGATGGGATTTGGTCAACACATCATCCTGAATGTGGTAAGGTCACTTTAACATTCTTATCAAATATTTTGGCCAATGTATTCACATGAAACTTGAATATCCAAATGTCAGTTGAAATTTGGTAGAACTGTGGCTTAACTTGAGGGTCTTTTGTGTGGCTGCCTTTAGCAAGCAGTCACGATTGTTTTTTCACTCTGCTGAAGCCCAAGCCTGCAAGACTCACTTATATAAAGGTCTGACTGAAACATCGAATGACTGAAAAATAATTTCCTCAAAGACTTTAGGCACATGCCCTTCTTATACGCAGACTGAAAATCTCTAGGACCAAACCCAAGCGAGGGACATTGTGCAACAATGAATAGCTACTTCCATTACTATGTGCCTCTGATACATCCTCTACAGAAGTCCGGTGCACTCTGTAGAGGTGCTGAGGGGCTACTGCTGAAGACTAGACCCTTTTTTGAACAGAATTCCCACCCTAGAGAAGAACTGATAAAAGAGAAACCTCCATTCGTCCTGGCTGGGCAAGCCAGCATGCCTATCATTCAGCTGTGAAATTCAAAGCACCTTCTCATGCAAAGGGACTTTTAATTTTCCTTTGTTTTGCATAGTTTTATTTCCATATTCCAATATTGTATCAATTGGAAAAGTGCTTTTACAAGTGTGTTGTGGCAAACAATGTAAATTTGGGAGGAGTGTTGTGAAACAGCTGTATATGATTTCATCTGAAAGAGCAAGCTATAGTCATTCTACTACCTAGAGAGAGTATCTCCAGTTGCAGTTAACTGCTAAAGTCCCTGCTGCATGATGTCCCTGGCTAAAGACCTATTGAAAGATTTGTCTCTGGACCTGGCTGTTAGAGTGTTAGGTGGTGTAATTTGGGTCTCTCCTTCCCAGATGTTTTCTCCTTGTATTTAATTCATAAAAAAAAAGTGATAACCCTAGATTAGGGAAGTTCAAGTTACTGGTAGACACAGGATGAAATAAGACAATTTAATTGACTTACTTGATCAAGCTTAGGTACACTTTAAAACATGCACTCCACTCAACAGATGATGCCTCTGGATAGAAAACAATTTGCAAATAAAGCATTATACTGAGAATGATTCCCTATGGTCTTTAGCTGCTCTCAGGTTATCAGTCACTTGTACAGAGGAGCCAAACTGAAAGGAGACAGGGCTTTACTTCTCCCTTTCTCCTGGTGAAGAAGAGGTTCAGATGTTTTATTTGCTGAATATGACTCATGCGAAAAGTATTTAAGTACCCATATAACTATCAACATATGTTAAAATCCAGTGTTGTTAGAGAAAGCATGAAATATATGCTTAGCTTGAATTATATACTCAATGCTAAGAGCACAAGGTTTTCATTGAACTTGTACTACTTTGGTTAGATACATTTTTCCATGCACTGCTGAGCTGGTGACACGAGGATAAAAGAATATGACAGGGCCATTCCTATGCACTGTTACTGTGCTGGTTCGCAGAGATTTAAATAAATGCTTAAATGCTTTGTTTTAAATTGGTGCTTTTGTGAAATGAGGCTCAGCAGGTCTAAAGCAAGGACATGAAGAGGTCATTTGTGGTCAATTGATATCATGGAATCATAGGATCATAGAATGGTTTGTGTTGGAAGGGACCTCAAAGCTCATCCAGCTCTAACCCCCTGCCATGGGCAGGGACACCTTCCACTAGACCAGGTTGCTCCAAGCCCTGTCCAACCTGGCCTTGAACACTGCCAGGGATGGGGCAGCCACAGCTTCTCTGGGCAACCTGTGCCAGGGCCTCACCACCCTCACAGGAGAGAACTTCTTCCTAATATCTCATTGGCCCCTTTTAGGCACTTGAAGCTGCTCTACGATCTTGCTGGAGCCTTCTCTTCTCAGCCCTCCACAAGCAGAGGTGTACCAACACGAGCTGTCTAGACTAGACATTCACTGGTTATCAGGCAACGAGATCTCAGACAGAGGAATTAAACAGAATTGCATGTTACTGCCAACGTGACAAGCAAACTGAGATGAAATCTAAAGGAAAAAACAGAAATACCTTTTTAGCAGCTAAATAGAAAGTATGGAGAAGTTAACATACAGAGGAAAGCATTTATTAGCATCACATAGGCAATACTGTCATCCAGATTTAGGCCAAAAAAAAAAAGAGTTTAGAGAAAAAAAAAAAACCAAACCAAACAAAACAAAACAACAAGAAAGGGGGAAATATCGGGAAGGAGGAAGTAAAAGTGGCTTTATAGGCAGAACCTAGCATGAGTAAGCTTTCCATATTCTCTTTCAGTTCCCATATTTCCTGGGGTTACTGAGATCTCTCTTTCTGTGCTGAGAAACCAAGATGCAACCAAACATAAAAGTAAAAAATGAGTAGTTTAGTTTTATTATACAAGTCCAGTGCAGTATTGAAAGCACAGGAAAGGGAAAAGAACGCCAAGGACCTGTCTCCTGCAAATAGTTCAAGTGCATGCTTTGATGACCCTGAAGTAGCCCTGTTGATGGGAAATGAACTTCATACACAATCAAGGTTCTTTTTCAGGATGGTCAACTATGTTTTAAGACCTTTTAACAATCTGAGCATCTTACAGTAAGGTGTAAGAGAACCTTACATTTACACTAAAGACGCTAAAGCGTGTATTATAAGCAGACATTTGTATATTATAATTTCTACTTTACTCTTTGATCTTTTAGAAGACAGAGATCCCAGATGCGTCTTGAAAAGGCAGCTTTGCTGAAGTGTAGGCTGAAGTGTAATCTGAATGAAATGCCAAGCAATCTGATAGGTAAAAGTAATGTAGTGAACCTGATAAAATGATTACTATTTTTTTCCCCTATCATTAGTTCTAGATGAAAAAAACTGCTCAGATCCTGGTGGCCCTCTCAATGGCTACAGAAGAGTAGTAGAAGACACTGGGGCCTTGAATGGACGCTATGCAAAAATTGGCACAGTCATTGCTTTCTTTTGTAACAACTCGTATGTTCTTAGTGGGAATGAACAGAGGACCTGCCAAGACAATGGAGAATGGTCAGGGAAGCAGCCAATCTGCATAAAAGGTAGTTTTCAATCTTTTTTTGCCACAATTCACAAAAGCTGCTATGTTTTTATTGGAGTTTGTTTTATATAATTTACACTCACTGAACAATCATTTTTGCTAAGAATAACCCATCTCACTGACACCTCATACTGAGATTCGTAGTTTGCCAGCTCCGTTGGCTGCTAAACTCAGCCAGATAAGATGCCAGTGATTCCAGAAGAGGTTTCCATCTTTAAACATGGAAAGGAATGTTCCCTAAGACCCTTATTACCCTCCTTCTAGAATAAAACCTGTGTAAGATCAAAAGAAAAGATCAGGAGGGAATTGAAATAGAAGGAAATAATTGCTCTCATAGGCCCCAACTCTCCTCTCATGATCCTTTTCAGTCCCAGTCATGGGATGGAAAGAACAAGCCTGTAGATCGCACCCTTGTAGGTTTGGTCCAGAAAACCACCAGAGGACATGTTTAAACTATATGTGTTTATCAAAACAACAAAACACATCTTTAAATCCTTTGCTAGAAAAGGAATTATGCTGTTCACCTGGAGCTACTCTTAAGTGTGTCTGAAACCCTGAATGGATGAATGAATTTGAGCTAGGGAGCTGCCAGATTAATTTCCCCAAAACAATTGTTTGATGCTTTTTCTTGGTTTAACTGTAGTAATGATAAATAAGATAATATGTTTGTCCCCTGGGCAACTTGCTTTATTCTGTTATTGTAGATGGAAATACTCTCTCCCTGAAACATATAATCATCTGTAGAAAGCATCATTATGGATTATAACCATTTGCAGAAAGTATCTTTACTGATGGGAACTTTGACAGTGACATAAAGGTTAACATATACAGTAATCATAAAGACCTGGGCATTGGTAAATCCCACAGAGCATAAGTACACAGCCGTACAGATTAAATCCATTCTGCAAGATTCCCTTCCTTCCATTGTGCGCAGCAGGAAGGAGATCCTGGCAGTTATTTGAACTGATAAAACTGAATATTTTATCTGGCTTTTAAAGTAAAGAAAAAAAAATCAGAAATCCCAGATATCCCTTCTGTTATTTTGGGCATACTCAGGTAACTGAGGTGTTCCTTTGAATCAGAGTCTCCAGCTCCTTCTGTGGGTACACAAGCAAACAGACATTTTGAAGTCTGTGACATCCCACAGCCTTTCTCTCTATGCTGACTCACTGGGATCAACTCTGTGTGGTTACAGGATGGAAATTAAATATTTTTTTAGCTAACTTCATTATTGTGAAAGTTTGCTCAGATTCCAAATCATCAGCTATAGTGGTGTAAACCTGGCATTCAGACACATTGAAAGGCAAATCTTCCTCCATGGCTGGAAGTGCCAGTGCAGAAGGCACTCAGTTGCATCCACTGTTGTAAACGGGATAGATCTGGTGATCCGTGAGGAAGTATTTTTTCCGATGCTTTAGGTTTTAGGGCCTATCTTCATTTTAACACACATAATTTACTGCCTCTTTTCTTAACCCAGTCCACTATAGCTAGTAAGAGGAAAGAATGGAAATGTGTATGAACCCTAACACTTGAGCTGTGAATGTGGAAAAGTATTGTGCAACATTATATTTTTTCTAGCCTGCAGAGAGCCAAAGATCTCTGACCTGGTGAGACAGAAAGTGCTTCCAATGCAGGTTCAGTCAAGGTGAGAATGCAATATCTCAACTACAGTTTAAAAAACAAATGTGACTCCTTTCCACCCTGTGTGTTTAGCCTGACAATGGAGCAATGAGAGCTGCTGGGAGGGGAGGGCTGGTTAAGTGCTGGTTTGGAAGCTGCTAGAGGCAGCCAGGAAGAAAGGCATGGTTAGAGATGTGCAAGATACTGGGTTATGCTGGAATTAGGCTTGCAGACTTTTGGCAGGCTATGAGAACAGTCTGAGAGCGGTGCCTTGGAGCTAATGAGGTGTCTTAAAACATGAACATGTGGTGTCTTAGTGAAGAAAAGAGTGGGAAGAACACGAGAGAAGGGGGTAATTGATATAAAATTGTGTTTGAGATGGGCATGGGGGAGACAAGAGGAAGTAGGACAGCAGGGAGTAAAGCATGAAATATCAGACCCTGTCTGAGCTTACCCTTTTGCTGATTTCCTGAAATAGGACCAATCTGAATTAGTGATGCTGCAATGACCAGGTTCATTTTTGTCCAAGTAGTAATTTCTCATTTCAAGGTGGATTTTTTTTCCAGTACATGATTCATTTATTTTTAGATGGAGTGCAAGAACTGGCCTCATCTTTGGTCTTAGGAACAACCATACCAGGTCAGAATAAAGGTCCAGCTCAAGCCATATCCTGTCTCTGGCAATGACCAGTAGCAGATGCCTAGAGAAGACTTTAGGAACAAGGCAAGCACATACTTCCCAAATACTCTCCCACTCTCCAGCAACGTGATGTATGATTGTAGAGGCGGCCCTGAGAAGCCATCAGGAGGCTTTAGTAGTCATCAGGGAATTCTTCTTGCTTAGGTTTCTCAATTCACTTTTCAACACAGGTCTTTGTGCTAAATGTTTCAGATGTTAACAAGAGCTGTATGAAAGGGCATACATGCCCCCACCTCCGTAGCATCATCGTGGCACCGCGTTGACTCTTACCCCTTGAAGCAGGATCTCCATTTCATAGCTTAACAGTGAGGCGAAGTGTTGACTATGCACTATTGCAAGGTCACATGCAAGTAGGGAATGGGACCCTGGCAGCCTAAGCATGACCACAGCAGCTCTCATCCTTTGTCCAAAATATAAGAAACTTGTCATTGCTCTTGTTCTTAATAACTTTACTTTCCTTGAGTGCTGTCATGTACTGCCTCACAGATTCTATCTGATGGAGGCAGGCTGTGTCTCTCTGTGATCAAAAATGGAATTACCACTTGAAAAAACCCAACATGCTTTTGGCTTTTCTGGATGCAACAGTACAAGAAATTTCAACGGAAATTAATTTCTTGCTGAAATTTTCAGTCATAAATAATTTGTCGGGTTTTTTCTGTAGAAAAATGCTTTTAACCATTAGAGTAAGGGACACATTCTAACCGATGAAGACTTAAGTATGACTGTAGACAAGCTTCTGGTTTATATATCTAGGCTGGTGTCTATATTTATTTTTTTAATTATGTGCCATGTTTCAGCTAATCAGTGCAATTTCTAAATAGAAGCTTAGTAATTACTGCAATCATGAAATCTCTGTGGTGAGGCAATTATTTCTGCTAATTGGTAAATCAAGCAACTTTATCAACATGATTTAATCTGAATCAATTCCTAATTCTGCCTATTAAAGTGTTCACTAGAGAAAAGATGTGCCTATCTCTTCTCTGGTGAGAATTAATTATGGCAATGCCAACATCCAGTGTAATTTCTTTATTTAAAAACGTGGTCTCTCAGTCCTATTGTGAATGGCAAAAGCTGCTCCACATTCAGAGGCAACTGGTTGCAATCCAGAAACTGTACAATTTAAAAAAAAAAGAGACACAAATAGAAGCTTTATAAACATATGTGGTTTTATATTCAAATGTGTATTAATATACATACTTACATGTAAATAAAATAGCTCCCATCTAAATGGGACTATTGCTCATCTGTGTTGGAATGGTTTTTTTGCTTTGTTCTTTCACAAGCAAACTTGATATGCTTTTAAATGATACTTAACACAGCTGGTGATAAAGATATGGTAATGATCACTATTCTTCTTCTTCTTCTTATTATTATTATTATTACCTTGTGTTCTTTGTGCCTTGAAACAGGGAAACACCTTTGCATCAACTTTACTCATCTGCATTCAGCAAGCAAAAGCTTGACATCTATCCCACCAAGAAGCCAGCACCGCCTTTTGGAGATCTGCCCCCCGGGTACCAGCATCTGCACACCCAGCTTCAGTATGAATGCATTTCTCCTTTCTACCGCCGCCTAGGCAGCAGCAGGAGGACTTGTCTGAAGACAGGAAAATGGAGTGGGAGAGCTCCTGTGTGTATTCCAAGTGAGTCTCCAAGGGAGAAAGAACACACACATCTCTGGAGGGATGGGAGAACAGGATGTATATTCATCTCAGAAAATTAGGATGTCTCAGCCGTGTAGGCTGCCTCTGCTTCCAGATGGGAGATAGGAGCAATAAAGCTTGGAGGATATGTCAATCAGGGGTACTCTTTCCATTTCTTTATGCAGTCATCTCATTATAGTGCAGCTTGATAAGGTTGTACTGAAAATTCACCTGCTCAAGTGCTAAATCCATGTTCCTACTTCAGCCAGGAATTCAGATAATAATGGGAAAATCATAAGTTTATTTTTTTAAACTACATAAAATACTCTTACATTATAATTTCACAGGTTGGAGACACAGGTTAATTAGAAAGCTATCCCTCATGCTAACCATTGCAATTTGGTTTCTTTTGGCACAGCCTAAGCAGGAATCAAGAGTGATATTCAGCTTTTGTGGTGGGGAAAAGGTGTTACCTCATTCTTGGTTCATGTTTCCTCAGTCTGTGGAAAAGCAGAAAACATCACCCTTCAGAAGACAGTGACCTCTACCAGGTGGCCCTGGCAAGCGGCAATCTATCGGACAGCCAACGGCATAAAGGAGAACAGTCTCCGAAAAGGGGCCTGGATCCTCATCTGCAGCGGGGCCCTGGTGAACGAGCGTACTGTGGTGGTGGCAGCTCACTGCGTCACTGACCTGGGCAAGACCGTTGTGCTCAAAGCAGCAGAGCTTAAGGTGGTTCTGGGGAAATTCTACAGAGATGATGACAGGGATGAAAAGACTATCCAGAACCTGCGGGTAAGTCTTCTGGGAATGGAAAATGATAAGTACAAGCAGACGCTGAGCCCATCTGTCTCGTAGAGGGAGAAGAAGGTTGTCCTTTGAGCACACAATGCTCTTTCAAATATATATCTAGAGAGTCAGCTGACAGAACAAGGCACACAGAGGGCATATGCTTCAGTTCATTAAGTTCCCTTGGCACTGTTCAACTCCTGTGTTTACCCCCTAACACAGATCACTAAGAAAATAGCTCAGGTTCCATGGGTCATAATGTCTTGAGTGATATTGCCAGAAAAAAAAAAGTAGAAGAGATGCCAGCTACTATCAAAAGTGATCAGCATAATTTATGAGGGAAACACTTGTGCTCTAGATCCTGGTTTGATGCCATGAGCACATTTCACATCTCAGCCCCAAGGCTGTACAGCATTAAACTCAGAAGTTTGTGTTTGACTCCAGCTCCAAAAATAGTACCTCATGCTCACCACTTGTGTTTTTCAAGTAGAACTAGAAAGGTTGGAGTCAAAATGAGGAGAAATACAGCAACTTTGGCTGTGTGTGTCTTTTTCTGGAGTGGCAGGGTACATGAGTGAGTTAATGGATTTTATCCAAGGAATGATAGTTAATTTGATTCTTTCCCCCTTTCGCCCATTTTTAGTTTCTTTCTCTAATTCCAGCTTTTTCAGACTTTTCCTTTTAGGAAATACATATTATTTACAGTCTTTCATTATAGGAATCCTATCTGTTCTTGTAGTGTTTTCATCAAGGTAACTAGCAGTAAAGCTTTAGCCCCAACATCACTCAATGTACTGCTAGTATGCTTCCCTTGTGGGAAGATGGTTGAATTTCAGTTAGAAGATAACATTTTAATTTGACAACACTCACCCCCAACCCCCCTCTCCCCCCTTCAGATTCTCCAGGCTGAAGATAACATGGCAGGTTAAATCTTTTTAGTAAACTGGAAAAACTTGAACTGAACATTAACCCCCCATTTTGATGAAAATACCCTTGTCTGCTTGTCATTAGGAAGAGTTTCAGGCCAGAAAAACTGTCCGGAAACCCAAGGGGAAAAAAAAATAGTTAGAAGATGCTTGATCTCTTTTTATGTTTCTCATTTGAGTGAACACTAGGGTGAAAAAACAGTTTGGGATTGGAGGGTCGAGGAGAAGTATGAAGAATGAACTAACATGTATTATAGTAGTGTGGGGAAAGAGTGCTGCTGCCTTGCCACTGCTGTTAACTCTACGATTCTTCCTGCTCCCCAGATTTCTGCCATTATAGTGCATCCCAATTATGACCCTATATTACTTGACTCTGACATAGCTATCATAAAACTCTTGGACAAAGCCAGAATCAGCAGTCGTGTTCAACCCATTTGCTTGTCATCTTCTCATGACTTGACTTCATCCATAGAGGATTTAAAAATAACCGTTACTGGCTGGAAAGTATTGGCTGATATTAAAGATCCTGGATACAAGAATGACACAATCCGCATGGGAGCTGTTCGGATGGTGGATTCACTGTTGTGTGAGCAACAGTATGAGGATAATGGGATACAAGTCAGCATCACAGACAGCATGTTCTGTGCCAAACAAGACCACACAGCCTTTTCTAATATCTGCCCTGCAGAGACTGGTGGGATTGCAGCCATAACTTTGCCAGGAAAAGCATCTCCTGAGCCAAGGTGGCACCTGATGGGATTAGTGAGCTGGGGTTATGATAAATCTTGCAGCCTAGAACTCTACAGTGGCTACACCAAAGCTCTTCCTTTCAAAGACTGGATTGAGAAGAACCTGAAATAAAAAGCCATACCTGGAAATGGCATTTTACGACTATTGTAATATCTCTCTCAGTCTCTGCTGCATTAGGCTTCTCATCCCAGTCATGAGTCACATCTGGGATAAGGTTAAGGCAGACAGCCTGGTAATTTTTCCTAGGATCAGATGTTCTATCAGGCTACTTTTACTCAACCCATCACAGAGGGTCTTAGTGCATGAGAAGTTTTGCTGTATTTTGCCTGTCTCCCCTGGTGGGAGGATGATGCTCTGCTCTTTAGTCCGACCCACAGAAACAGGACAGCGAATTCTGACTGAAACTCATCTGTAGCATGGAGTCCCCTAGAGAAAGCAACAGCAAGCGTCTCCCAAGGATCCATGTGAGCAGACTGGGAGGCTGGAAAAGAGTAGCCTGAATTCATTATGATAGATGAGCTTGTTACCGTGTGTGCTCTCTGTATTGCCATAGTACAATGTAATCTTTTCCCCTCCCAAGTAATTTACACATTTAAATAAACCATGGTTTGTGTTTTTTTAAACCTACATATCTATGTCTGACATTATGCAGATTCCTTGTTGCTTTATCTGTGTCACACTCGAGGGACTCTCTACTGCTCTTGTCTGTTTGCATGTGACACTCACCTGGGACTCTTCAGGCACACTGAAAAGCAGAATTAACACAAAATTCAATTACTACATAAATGCCCCCCCCCCCCCAATACTGTGCTGCTATTGTTGTACATGATCCATTGCAATGAAATGTACAGGGGAGTTCTCTTCCACCTTGTATCTTGAACAGGTGAAATCCCAAAACATGCTTTTAAAAGCATTTTTCCATGTAGGTTATTTCAAAGACCTATGAAAACCTCAGAGAAACTTCTCATTCATATAATTCTGTGGCAAAACAACTCTTCTGTGACTCTTCAGGGTGAAGAACAATGTCCTTCCTCACGCTTAGCAGGTGCTTTTCTTTACCAGACTGTTTGACATCGAAGTGTAAGATTCTCCCATTGTACTGGACGTCACCCCATGTGATTTATTTTTTTGCTTCCCTGGGCAGAAAGATTTAATGTGTTATGGTTTCACACTTCTCTTATTTTCACTGGCAACAGGACCTGGGGTGATGTTGCTTGAATCAAAAAGTGTAAGGGTTACAACTAAAGCCTCTCTTTATCTTGTTTCCCCGCCTCCTCCTGCCAGGAGATTATGTCTGGCTGTCAAACTGCGTGGCAACAACAGCACCAAAAATGCAGAATTAAATGTGAAAAATAAGATGCGTTTCATTCCTCTGCTGGGAGGAACATGTGCCAGTGAACGTGTGGTACTCCCCTGCTGACAGAAGGGGTTAAAGGCAATTAGGAGACAGTTTTGGAAAGGGCAGATTTGCAGAAAGTTAACACATGTTTCTTCCCAACAGAATGGAATGAGAAAGGAATAGAATTGTTTACTGGAACCTGGCTTGCCCAGTCAGAGATCTTCCATGATGACATTAAATCAGAGTCTCTACACTCTAATGGTGAGAGAAATTATCTTCTAAAACAGAAATCATAAAGGTCTGTGAGCTGGTTCTTTTCTTAGTCATGACTTCATGACTGCACTGCTCTCCATAGCATTACTGTTCTCCACTGCTACAACTGAGAGAAGAGGACCTAAATGTGGGGTTTTTTTCCCTCTCAGATTTGTCCAGCAGAGAACTCGGCAGTCCACACCAATCTGCAAAAGTCTGTCTTAACTCTAGCTTTAGCTCTCACCCTTTTCCTTTTACTAAAGGTCAGCCATGCCTAGTGTTACTGATCCTCTTAACTCCTCCTCGGTATTGAATCACGTCCCATTTGGCTTCAAACCACTCACAGATCTGGCAAGGAATAGCTGAAGGTTTCTGGGCAACAATACAGCTGATCACTGGTTGTGTATAAAATAAAAGCATGTTCTTGAAGAGCAACTTAAAGGAATTAATGGAGTGAAAATCATAGGAGGTTGTGACAGCTGTGTGCTCTTCTTCTTACAGCCATGATGCTCTCCAAGAAAACAGGAGCAAGAAAATGGTCAGGCTATCTTCAACCCTGAGATTCAGATTTCAGTATAGTCTTTTATAGAAAAATGAATTACCTGTAGCATTTGGTTCTACTTCTGAGCCTCAATTATGTTTGAATCCTAGATTCAATTCTGACTAATCTCTAAATTCAAACACAATGTTTTTATTTCTGTTGCATGACATCTCATAGAATCATAGAATGGTTTGGGTTGGAAGGGACCTTAAAGCTCATCCAATTCCAACCTCCCGCCATGGGCAGGGACACCTTCCACTAGACCAGGTTGCTCAAAATAGGGATGAATGTTTGGAAAAACCCAGTCTGTGAGCAGGAATCACTAATCCCTTTGATAGCTAGGTTCTGCTTTTGAGACGCAAAGCTATTTCAAACATCTCTAAACAGGTGAGGATCTAGGCCATCTGTTGGGGAAAGGGTGTGAAACAGCACAACTTGGATAGCAACACATCTTCCCCCTAAGGAAGAGCTGTGCATTCTGGAAAGGCACTAAAGATGTTGCTATGAAAAAAAACCAAAAGAGAGCCAAACCGCTTTCTGCATTCTTACCCTCTCCAGTGGATTTATACTTCTCCCTTTGTAGGTATTTGGGGCTGGGGGTGCATTAAATTCCTTACAAAACCCAGGGTGCTTAGCTGAAAAATAGAACTGTAAGGCAACAGACATACTGAATACATGCTCTTATCACATGTACCTCCGTGCCTCTAACGGAACTGCCCAGGGAACTTGTTTCCCTTGAAAACCTAAGTCGACGGTAAGACCACAGGGAAAAATGTGTATTTGATTGGGACTAGAGAATGCATGCTAAGCTGCATCCTGCCATTTATAAGGACAGGATCAGTATAGTTGCAGGAGGCATCCCGGGGGATCTGTGGGCAGGGTCAGGCAGCCTTTGCTGCATGATGCATCCCCAGCAGCCTTGCAGCTCTGTATTGTGGCAGGGGGATTCCTGCACGGCTGTTGGGCTTTGTGATGCATCCTGGGGGCAGAGAGAACACGCTATGGCAGAAATGTCAGCTCCCTTTGAAACGCGACATCAGGTTCAGAGAATCATGGACTGGTTTGGGTTGGAAGGGACCTTAAAGATCAACCTGCCACGGGCAGGGACACCTTCCACCAGACCAGGTTGCTCCAAGCCCCTGTGTCCAACCTGCCCTTGAACACTGCCAGGGATGGGGCAGCCACAGCTTCTCTGGGCACCCTGTGCCAGCACCTCAGCACCCTCATAGTGAAGAGCTTCTTCCTAATATCTCATCTCAATCTCCCCTCTGTCAGGTTAAAGCCATTCCCCCTTGTCCTGTCCCTACAGGCCCTTGTCGAAAGCCCCTCTCCAGATTTCTCTTCGGCCCCTTTAGGCACTGGAAGCTGCTCTAAGGTCTCCCCAGAGCCTTCTCTTCTCCAGGCTGAACAAGCCCAGCTCTCTCAGCCTGTCTCCAGAGCAGAGCTGCTCCAGCCCTTGGAGCATCTCTGTGGCCTCCTCTGGACTCGCTCCAACAGCTCCACATCCCTCTTGTGCTGTTGACCACGGAGCTGGACACAGGACGCAGGGTGGTCACACGTGGGTGGACAGACAGCACCGAGGTTGTCAGGCGGAGCCT